AATCATATGTATCCAAGCTTAGTTACTTTTACAATAATCACTGATTTTTTTAGTACAAGTAAAGTTAATAAGCCATGTTCCCAATCATCTTTGTTCAAACCCTTTTGCAAGAAATGTCTCTTCATGACTTTAATCATTTTATTAAAAAATGGATCATTTTAAATAAAATTTCTAAAATGAATATGAAACTTTTCCAACCTTTAGGGGAAATATAACTTTATTGAACATTAAGGATGACTGGGGCATAAAGTCTCTAATGAATGTAAATAAAACCGTCGATCAGGTGACTCTGAGGCTTCGTTGTGCTCTTCTGTTTTCTGTCTTGTAGTTTAACGTCTGTACGCGTCGTTCTGGTGGAGGTCTCTCTTCTTGTTAGCAGGACGTTCTTCCCTCTCACAGCATTAATTTATCAACACTCTTATGTAATTAAGGGTTGCAGTATTCATCTTACAATGTAAATCACACTGGAAAAACTACGGTTAAGAAGTGAATTTTATTCAAATCAAACAGTGTGTGCCACATTCAGCCATGTCCAAACCTGACATGACAAATGCATTAAAATCTCAAACTAAAATAAACTGAGACAATGAGTTGATACTGTTACGAAAATATAAACGAATCCTGATGCAGATGTTCCTCTGGATCCAGGTGCTGTTACAATAACAAAATAATGTTAACAAGGTAAATATTTGTGTAACTCTAAATCCTAAATGATGGAGAGGAGACAGATGTGGACAATCCTGGTGACAGCATCTACACACACTGTCCACATAGCCTTTTATCATCTGTTACCATCACAGCAAAGACACTCGGTGGTCCGACACAGGTGATGCACAAACCTGCTTCACTGTCTAAACACACGTATTACACTTTAATCTCCAAGTTCAAACAATAATGTCAGATTTGGACTATAACACCCGTCTCTCTCCAACAGTTTGTATCTGATATGGTTTCACGTACAGAGGGGTGACATTTATATTTACAAAGAGCATAAAGTCTGTCCTGTAACAGGATCAGTGATCGTGACAGTAGACTGAAGGACGCTGTGCTTCCAAAGATCTTCTCATATTTGCTGTTCTGCAGAAATCTGATCTAACATGTTGGAACAAAACATCCCAAACTGTGTGTTTCATCATCATCAAACTATTCAATAAGCACTGTTAATGGTGATCCTGGAAAAGACCGATCCATCAAGTTACAAATGTTTTATTACAGGTTAAAGGTCATCACTCAGGACAGCTGTGTGTGGATAAACTGTTGACAAACAGGCAAAAATAATGGAGTTTTTCCCATTAAGTCAGTGTGTTACTGAATGTATATTAAACCAGGCTCCCTGAACACTCCCAACATTAAAACACTGGGTGCAGGTACTTTGGGATGTACCGCTCACCCAGGGAGTCCCACCTGGCTCCACAGCAGGACAACAACGACAATATTCCAGCAAACAGTTCCCAACCCGATCATCTGAAAGCAGGGTCGTGTTGCAAGGAAGCAGCTGGACCTGCACAGGATTCAGCAGACGGCTGGAAAGTCCGCTTTCATGGTCCGTTTCTCTGTAGATAATTTGAATAAACTGGGGTTGCTCTTTAAGTGAGACCACAAAATGTAATGTTACAGGTTCCCAAAACTTCTAACAAAGCACTCTTATCACAATCACAAGGAAAACCAGAAAGAACAGGAAACAAACGACTGATCTTCTCTACGTTCACCTGTGGGTCAAACAGGACTCCAGCATGAATATATGCTGGTTTCACTGCAGCGCTGCATGTCTGCAGAGGGACTGCCATCTATTGGTTAAACTAGGTCATTACAATATTGTTATTTGTGTTAATGGCAGCTCAACTTCGTGAACTCACCTCATCACCCAGCGAGGCTGCAGACACATGCCTGAGCCACGCCAGTGGTTTCAAACAGTTTCCAAAAGTAAATCATTTTGTCCTCGTCAGTCTCAGCAGATCATCATGAAAACATTTCTCATGTAAGTTGACACACAGACAGCAGTAAAGTGGAGGGTCCACTTTCATCCAGACAGTCAGACGAGCGCAAATATTCCCAGGATTAAACAAAAGGAGCCATCGAAGGTGAGCATGTGTGATCAGAATGTTAAACTGTGATGGTCTCTGCAGCTCGCTCCTGTTATCTGCAGTGAAGCCTTCACTGAAATGGATGAGCTACAAATATAGCTGGATAATAATTCTCACATGTCAGGCACACACACATTATGAAATCATACAAACGTATGGCGTCTCCCATCGTGGGTTATGTTTTTGAACATTTCATAAAGTAAAGTAAATCCGTTGGGTATCTTTGTTGGACAGACATCAATTCTGACGCCTAAAGAACCAAACGGGACAAAAAACCACTTTTATCATGTCTCCCTGTGTTGATCTTCATTGTGCAGCACCTTTGTCAACATACATTGTTTTAAATGTGCCATAAAAATACATTTGACTTTGACTATGACGGCAGAGCTCACAGCAGAATACGTGTGTAATATTTAACAGATGTCTGACCTGTTCCAGCGACTCATCAGAACTTTGATTTTTGCTGCTGTTACAGGGACAAAGTGCCTGAAACCCTGGAGAGAAGCACAAAAAACATCTGTTTGTGCATCCGTGCAGCTTCTTCTGCTAATTCAATTCACACTTGTTGCCAGATAGTGTGAGAAATGAAGAAGATTCATCAAACTGCAAAGAATTTTGGGAGGCCACCAGAGATGCAGATACATCGGTATCTAAAGGAAAAAGCTGAACACCACGTAATAAACAGGCTCCAGAAAACCTTCCCAGCTGTGTGTTGGTGCAACCAAACAAAATTTGAAATCACAGCCAGTGTAGCCTGTGGTGCACCGTGCATGCAAGACTTATAAAAGCACCATTCATCTTTTTCAGGTTAATTCAGCTAGACACCAACCCACAGTCCAACACAGCTCTGTAGCTGTCAGTTAGTTCTGCACAGCCAGGCTTCCTGGTTAAAAGCCAGGTTAGAGAGCGGCGGTGGATAACTCGGGCTTTCAGCTTCACGTGGCAACAGGAAACACCTGCACACGCGTGCGCTCCAGTCAGAAACACCGTCAGAGGAACATGCAATAGAGGAAAGCACAAAGAAGGCAATGTTGTAGAAACCTCGTGAATCATTACTTTTATTTCGTGCTCCCAGCAGGAACATGTTTATTCTGGAGACACTCCACCACGTTCAAACGCAGATACATCTTAAAATCTCGACATTCATGTCTGACATCGTCCAGCTGAGTCTGTGGACATTACATCACGTGTGGGCTGATCACAGTTCATTTTACTCGCCGACGACTGTTGTGTTCAGGTTGCTATGGTGACCTAATGGCAGCCACGTTCAAAACAATGGAAACAGTTCATTAAACCTCAGCATCGGCTGCTCACTGACGCTCCTCTGCTCGCAGGTCAGACCTGCTCAAAGATTTCATCAGCTGTCAAACGAAACCTGACAAAAGTGCAGGAAACAACAGGAAGGTTGGGCTGCGGCCGTGTTACATGCAGAGGAAACACAGACGTGTCCAAAGCTGCAGAAACACGTTGGCTGCATCAGGTTCAACAGAGCGTCAAACTCGCACCTTATAGAGCACCTTTCTAAACTCGCCTCGTTCACACCATCAAGCACTTTTCTTCTGTGTAAGTGCTTTCTGTCTGACACGGACGGATGCATCGGGGAGCAACGGGGGCCAGGCCCTTGCCCGAGGGTATTTGGCATGCAGACTGGAGCAGACGGGGATCGAACCACCAACCTTCCAGTTAGTAGGTGACCTGCTCTGCCAGGAGGGACACGGGGTGGCTGTGCTGAGCAGATAACCAGCAGATCAGCACTCAGTGGCTTCCCAGCAGCTTACCACAGAATTACGTCCAAGCAAAGGTTTGTTAGCTGAACTCTGCTGGGTTCACTGGCTCTCTGAGATCTAACCTCGAGCAGCAGCCAGTCAGAAGCCTGACCTTTCTGATGGTTTGACATCAGCAGTATGTGTCGTCTTCAGGAAGGTAGTGATCCTTATTGCAGCTGTGAAGTGAAGCTGACGATGGGCGGAGCACAAAGATGCAGACTGGAATTTATTTAAAAAACAAACATGTTTCAGGATGTGTATGGAGCTGTGGTCTGTGGTGGAGCTCCTGTACACACTCCATGAACCAGGCGAGCTCAGCTGTGTCTGCTGGGTGGATGATAGCCTCGACCTCCCAGAAGGATCAACAGAAGTACAGAGGGGGCAGTGGTGTGAGCTCGGTCAGTTTTCAGTCAGTGATAGTGCCAAAGCTGCTTGCAGCGCTGCCTCTTCATCGATGCTGTAGTCCTGACCAAATACAGAAAGCACTGATTACTGTACGAATGTATCTGCCAGTCTAACGAGCTTTTGTTTAGACGCTCTGTGATTCGGATCGTTGAACTGTCAGGATTTACAGCCTTACAGTCTGAATTTCTCCAAAGACACTTTTCTTCATTTTGTTTTCTTATAAATGATCATGTTTTACTTTTCTTTCAGTCAGAGTTTCTGTCCAGCTGCACACACTCTGCAGCAGCAGCTTCACTTCAGTTTGATCACAAGGTGCCAATTTACTTTATTAATACAGCCCCGAATCAACGCAGCAGTTGCCTCAGGGCGCTTTAGGTGCCATCCACCGATTGGTCAAAAAGTACGGGGCCATGTACACATACGTGCACGTACTTTGGCAGCCCCGCCCTATAACTTGGTTTGTCACTTCATGACTGCATACTGTGGTTAAAAGCACATGTTTCTGATAAAGTCGTTATACAGTCGTTATAAAGTCGTTATACAGTCGTTATACAGTCGTTATAAAGTCGTCATACAGTCGTTGTAAAGTCGTTATAAAGTCGTTATAAAGTCGTTATACAGTCGTTATAAAGTCGTTATAAAGTCGTTATACAGTCGTTATAAAGTCGTCATAAAGTCGTTATAAAGTCGTTATACAGTCGTTATAAAGTCGTTATAAAGTCGTCATACAGTCGTTATATAGTCGTTATACAGTCGTTATAAAGTCGTTATAAAGTCGTTATACAGTCGTCATACAGTCGTTATAAAGTCGTCATACAGT